CCTCGCAAAAGAACTCGTTCCCGCGTAAACCACAGAACCACGAGATCCAGGACACCTCCTCGGAGCTGCTCATTTTCCTGCGGCAGAAGAAACCGAGGGGAGAATTCCGTTATTAAGTGTTAGGCGTAGTAAGCGGGGAGAAAAGCGACCAAGGCCCGATGAAGAGGTTGCACGTGTCACGCTCAGTCACGCTTTCTCGTTCGCTCGGTGGCTCCTTCACACGGTGTGTGAACGCGTCGTCGTCGTCGCCCACATTGTGTGCAGGCAAAATTGGTTAGAACAGCGCGAACGCGGGATGCGACAGGGGGAGACGGAGGTGAGAATAACGGACGGACATACAGACAGATAAACGTAGGACGGAGGGTAGTGCGGGGGTGTGCAATGGAGCTCGCTTTACTAGGCAAGATGCCCGACAAGTTACGGCCCGTCCGGCGCGTTCACACCTACGTTTCCGTGGTCATTGCTGCTTCGTCAGCTGTTTTTCGAACACGATGCACAATGGGACGCGGCCAGGAAGCGCATTACTCGTGCAAATTGCCAACGCGGAGCACAGCTACCCGACGAAAAACCAAAAATAAACAGCCCTCGCGGCTTACCTTTTGGTGCTTTGATTAGCCACGCTTGCTCAACCGAACATAGTATAGCTGGCGCTGCCGGTGCGCGCGCATCGGCTCCGCCATCTTCCGGCGTATCGCGAAACATTACGAGATCTGTTTAATGGTGGATTCACACCATTCACACTGCGCACGATATCCAATAAAAGAATTCAATTCTAGTTAGCGACATTTTTGTCTCTAGGAGACAAATTTTTCTATTGGATATCAGACGTCGGATATCATATGTAGTATGAATCTAGTATAATGTTGGATTCATCATTACGATTGGCGATTGCTGGCTATTTCAAGAAGGAAAGCAATACCTTTCTAATTGGTTCAATAGACGCAAATGCGAGCATAATAGTCGCATATTAGTGATACACGTATAAAGCGAAGTTTAAAAGGGCGGTATTCATACCCGATTCTTATATTCAAGATCTTCTTAAGTACAGTCTTAAGATGTCGCGAACCAATCAGAGAGCCATATTAGCATCTTAAAACATTGGCTGCGTTCAGCAGAGAAAGCAGCTTTGCAACTATTATAAAATTCTTCAATTCTTCAATAATTGGTCTTACCTTTAGTTCTTCATTGGATCTAAATGTATAAACCAATCATATTCAAGAATTTTACAATAGTTGTAAAGCTGTTTTCTCTGCTGAACGCAGCCATTGCTTAAAACGATCTTGAAATAAAAACGGATTATGAATACTGGTTTACAATATAGGTTTGTTTAATAAAGTCAAGTATGATTTTTTAATTCTTTCTCTAGAAATCTCAGAATGATTTCTAGCATCCTGGACATAAAATTAATATGAATCGATAAAAACAAATGTATTTTTGTTAATATTCCGTAAGGCCCTACACAAAATGACGAAAATATTAAGAATGAGGACAAACATTAAGATTTTATCCTATCAAAAATCATACATTTCGGTATAATACGTTTCTGATAGATTGAAGAGGGTCTCCGATGACTAGCAATTACAACCGATAAGAAGTTATTATCTCGTTTTTGTTAATTAGCAATGTAATAGACGATCAATTAGAGAATCAATTATTTTGAAACAAAAATGGTAAAAATGAATAAATTCATTAAATGCTGATTAATAAATCATAAATATTCTAATATCAATGACCAAATTTATTAGACGTTGATTAACAAATTATAAATATTCCAATAAATATTTTAATTCTTTTGGCTAGTACTCATTAATGAATTGACTATTTTTCTAATCTTTAGAACTAGAAAAAGACGAAGAGTAAGTTAAACCGAGATTAAAGTTAATCTACACTGATCGAAACGGGTATAAGACAGTAACGACATTGTTATGCAGATTTTATAGCATAAAAAGCTGTACAAGGATGTTGTTACTGTTTTAACGAGTTATAGAATAGAGTAAGTCTGCTGCTGTAATCATTAAATTAAAATAACGTAATGCTCGTTGCAAAAACATGATGTAAAATATAAATAATTCTTGCTTCCAAAAAGAGAAATCATTAATATTAGTAAATAATATATCTGAAATGAGCTTCAAACTCTTCTTTTATTAACGCTAGTATTATTTTTTCTACCTTCCACATAATTTACGATTTTCCGTACATACCTTTCAAGATTTGTATTCCTATAGCTTCCCATTACTTCTAATATTTTATCGTCTTCATCACTGCTTTCAGAAGAATCTATTAATTTTTGCATAAGTGCAACTGCTACTAATGCTAATATTGCTGTTACCATCGTGGCTGCTGCTAATACCAATACTCTTCGACGATCTTGTTCCATTCTGTTTTGCTATTTCGTTAGATTTGATATTAGCATAGAACTTATACTGTTGGAAGGAGTATGGCCTATCCAAGCAACGAGTAGAAAGTGTGAGCAAGATCTGAGAGACAGAAGATGTATTTCTGTACATATTTCTGTCCTGCTCAGTAACTCTTCTTTCTGCGCATGTCAAAAGAAAATAGAAAGATAGAAAGATATTTCTGTCCTTTAGGGTACAATTACATAAAGCGCGATACGCGGTACAGTAATTAATAGTAACTAATTAGGAAACTAGGAAACCGTAAATGCTTATATGTGTGTATGTATGTATGTATGTATGTATATACAAAAGCCACTGAGCGCTCAATGA